ATTAAATAAAAACAACAACAAAAAAAGCAGGACTTGGATTAATTCCTGCTACTGGCAACTGTAATATTTAAAAAGGAAACACCCATTCACTGAGTGTTCGACCCTGACAGTATTACAGATAGATATGATGCCGAGCCTGAATTAGATCAGGCTACCAGTGTTTTACTTCTTCCCTGAACATTAACAAGCTCCTTCACTAATGTAGATATTTGGGCAGACTACTGAGGTTGTAACGTTTGAGATCACTGTTTTGTGGGCTTTTTTTTTTTCCATTTTTTGCAATATCACAGTAGTTTGTTACACAAATCCCCCTTCCCCAGATTAGAGTCATTTGAACTACTTGTTGGAACCACATAGTTTAGTAAACTCAGAATCAAGTCTGTAAAAAGCATAAAGGTCACAAAGAACCACAGTTCTGTTGTAATGAGGCATACCCTAATACATCATTTAGTGTACCCTGACTGCTCCTGACTGTGAGAAGCTTGTCTTCCGTGAGATAAGGCTACATCCTCAAGCAGGTGAGTCTAAATATCACCCTTCAAAAATATCAAACAAAATTACAGCAAAGGTAGTGTTACAAATAATTAACTGACATATTCTGAAGGTAGTGTATGTAAGTTTTCCCTCCCCCCCCCCCCCCCCCCCCGGGTGAGCACTAAGCAGACAGCGAATGGCAAGTATGTTCAATTTATAAACAAAATAGTGGAAAGCCTAATTAGACCCAATTGATTATCCTCCTAATAAGCAAATCTCTGAGTTCAAGTGAGGTACCATTCCTAAATAACCTGATTTAGCTTAAATCTTTCAATCAACTGGATCAAAGAAAAGGAGGGAGAAAAAGATTTCTGAAACGTTTTGAAGAATAACAGTCTGATTCTCATTTGAAAAATGCCTGGTTTTAGGAAAGTATCAGTTTAACAAAGTGGACTTTTTTCTATGAAGGCAGACATGAAAAATCCAACACCAGAAGTTCAGGCAGGCTCTACAGGCAAGACGTCCACTTCCACAGATCTGCATTCTTTGTGAGGTAACTCTCTATTACAGAGAAACATGCAAAAAGCAAAAGAAAAAGGAAAAGAAAAAGAAAAAAAAAAGAAAAAAAAAAAGAGGGTAGTGGTAGTGGGCAGGTGAAGGAGGGAAACTGCACCATACCGGGCTAGAAAAATTTACAAATGACATTCAGAGCACACCTTTCACCTGTGTCCACACAAGTCTATGCTAAACCGCAAAGGAGAGAGCTTTGCAGCAAATAGGAGAATCAGGCGCGCTCAGTGTTATTTGAACTATGCAGTAGTGCTCACCCAGTTTGCAAAGTAATTGGCACTCTACAACATCCCTACTCATCTTTCAATTCATTTGCACTTTGTGCTGCTTCTCCCTGGGGATCTAATTCAATCTTTACTGAAACATCCTGCCCCTCCGACCTCATTAATTTCATTTTTTTCTTTGGAGGGTTTTTCAAAGTGCCCAGCCTCTCTTTAACTTTGTACTCCAGTGTACTGTGGGGGATCCCATAAATGCTCTGAGCTTTGGAAACGCTCATTTTCCCACTCATAACCACAGAGATTGCTTCCTCCAGTATCTCGCTGTTGTACTGTCTGTATCTCCCTCTTTTCTTCCTAGGTTGCTTAGAGCCAGGATCTCCCTCTTGATCTGAGGTGGGATATGGCTGTCCAGAGGTAGACTGCTCAGCATCTGAGCCCCAGGAATCTGGTCCAGCATCCAGCAAACTTCTCCTGTTTTGTTTTGGAAGGATAGCCCTTAACTTCTTGCTAAGCGCGCTCTCCGTTTGTGAACCCATTACCAAAGAGCTATAGCTGTACTGGTCACCAGAGCGGGACTCCCATGAAAGGTCCATGCCTCGAACTTGTGGTATCTTTAAATCCACAGGAGACGAATGGCTCATGTCCTTTTTCCCATCCTGTTTAGTTTGAAGTGCCATTTTTTGAAAGGCAGAGTTTTCTGTAAGAAAAGGAAGGTCACTGATGTTGCTGAGTGCACCATTTCCCCTGAATTTCATGCGGCTGAAATTGAATTCGTAGTGTGGTTTTGCCCAAGAAGCCTCCCTGGATAATATTAAGTGCTGTCCATGATTCTGTAGTCCAGATGGCCCATGGCTGGCAGCCGTAGAAAACTGGTTTCTGCTCAGCAGTTCTTCACTAATCTGGAGTGATCGAGCCAGCGGTACTTTAAGAGATGTGGAGTGGCCATAACCTTCCCTGGTTCCATCCTGCAAGCTTCTTGGAGGTACCCCATCACCACTCTGTAGTCCCTCCGGATGGTGCTGGCTGGGTCTCCCAGGTCGCCTAATTGGATGGAAGGAAACTGATGTGAGCAGGACTTGCACAGGTAGGGAGGGATGGGTGAGGGGGCCACTCCTTTATTAGAAGGCCTTGCTTGGGTAACATCACTTTTTGTGTTATTTATTTTTTCTCTAAATTTGTATTTATTTTTTGATTTTATTTTAATTTTTTTTTTTTAAAGTCTCAGCATCAGTCAGTTTTAAAACTTGTTCGCAAAAAAAAAAAGAGAAGCTTTTTGGGCAAAGAAAAATGAAACCTGTTGGCTGGTCTCTGGTTGGGTTCACAAATTCTCGGAGTAGAAAAGACTTCGCGCAAGCGTCTGCAAATAGCACCTTAATTACAAAGTAGTAATCAATCGCCATAGAGCTACACACAACTGTGTTACTGGTGTGACGTTACCACTAAACAAGTACAGTAATAAAAGAGTAAGCCAAAGTGCAACATATTCAACATGCAAATATGACTGCCACCCGCAGTATCTACACATAGGTGGAAACATTGGATGATGTTCGCTTACATCGTACTGAAGAATTACTGCTCAGGGTAAAGAAAAAATTGCTTAGCAGGCCTCAAAGGTATTTGCTTGACTTTCATTAAGCACCAAATAAGAAAGCTGGGATACCGCAGATCACAAAGGAAAACACTGCACTACACTAGACTTACCAAATTGCTCTCTTACCTAATTCATATATACATGTCCCTGATTCTCATTTGATATATAGCATGGCTAGGAAAAGAAATCCAAGTCCCAGCTGTCATCTGTATCAAGGGTTAACAGCAAAAAAAGCAGTGCGTATTTTTACCATTTTCCTTTTGTCACAAATGTACAACACAAAGTACTACTACTGTGGACATATGTATTTGATTTTTTTGCTAGCTTACCCCTCTCTAAGAAGACTAAGAAACTAAGTCACACTAATTTCAAAATCCACCTCCAAACTTCAACATACAGATCAACAAACATGCTCTGGGACACTACAGTGGTGTAAAGCCCTCTAGCTAAGTCAGCATTATTTAAGGATAGGATATGCACTATTGAAAAGCTACATTATTTTAATCCTAGTGTGATGTTAAACAGGAAAGTCTTAGGAGAAAAGACATCCACTGAAAAGGACCTGGCACATAACATACACTGTGCTTGGTATGTATGCTGCTAGCCTCTCTCCAGCACGCAGCAGGTCATAGTTGAAGTGGGCAACAAGAGTCAACAAGGATTCAGAACAAAATCCAGAAGTGAATGAAAGTTTACTATTCCAGAGAACTCTCTCAGACAACATGCATCCTCTGCTCCTTCCACAGCCTGTATCAGCATCTGAATGCGCACCAGTGGTTCTACACCTAAATAAAAGTCATTTTGGCAGGTCCCTAGGACAGGGGTTCATACCTGATTTCACTGACACTAAACAGACTGCAGTCAGCCTCATGTACAAGTAACCACACGTGCCAGTATGCCGCATCCTCTCAGGGCCCACAGGACTGCTCATGGCAGTACTAGGTGCTGGCCCCACACCTCTGTGTGTTGGACTTCGGCTCTCACTTGACACACCAACAAGAGAACAAACAACACAGAGCTGCGACTGCTTCTGCTGCCTTCCTAGGAAAACAGAGCTGGAAATAACTTGTCCAGCATTGAAAGAGAAGAGCTGGTGGGGAAGGGTTATGCTAAAGAATTGTGAAAAAGTATTAAGATTAACTTTTCAACAAGGATTGAAGTATTTTACTAATAAAACTATTAAATGGCTCAAGTCTGAGAGTAATATTTTTCCAAGAAGAAATTAAAAAATTAGATCGGGGTGGGGGTGTTAGTTTAAAATTTAAAGTTTTTCAAAGGCTAAACCCAGCAATTAAATAGCAGTTTAAACCATACACTGTTTCTGTACTTCACTAACAAAGTGACATGTTCACAGTAGCTTCAAGATAAAATTCTCCCATCAACACCCAAAACCTCTCTTACTCCCAGTCAGTCTCTCCAGTACAATTGACTCAATCCTAACTAAGAGTAAAGGGCTTCTAAATGTATGCAAAAGTGACCAAGAGAAATATAAAAGCTAGAAGAAACTTTATATACCATTCTTTCACGCCTTGGACTAATGAAGGCATGAGTACTACACCACACATTTTATAATTATTGTTTTAAAGTTGTTCAGTGCTACGGTACAATCACAAATCCAAAAAGCCATGTTTAAAGTTTTCTGAGCTACCAGACTCACTTCCCCAGCCACTTTAGGTTGCAATTTATGGTAGGAAGTATTAACAAAAAGCATGCAGTGATTCAAACCTTTTAATTCAACTTGGTTCATCACTCAAATCATTGCTACCCTAATAGAAACTTTCCTGTTAGCCGACTTTCCTCTTAGTGGAACAAAATCTAAATTGCATTGCAAAGTCTCCAAGGCTCTTCGTACATTTAGCTGAACTGTCATCTCCATAGACATCACTTACCACTAAACCCAAGCAGCAGGTAATGGACAGATATTTGGCTAAGTACTAAATTGGCCAAAATAACAGATATTAGAGTTCTTAACTGCAACAACTTATTTGGCAGGTGGGGTGAAGGTATTTGCCAAAAGGTACAAGTTGAAAAACACATTACTCCAAAGGGTTAACACCAAAAGTAAGTTAAAATGAACAGGAGGTAAGCACACATTTTTAGTATAAAACAGTTTTAAAAGGTCACAGCAAGTTGCTGTCTCTTACCCATTTCCCGGAGTACTGGAGCACCCTGGAGAATGACTCAGAGAGGTGCTGCCGGCACAAGGACTCTTCTTAGTGGATAAATCAAGCACACCATCTATAGAGACAAAAGAATGACTTCAGTGTTTGAAGAAGCAGGATCAGCCATGCTGTCTCTTGACACAACAAGTCTTTTGGGCTAAAGTCTTATTTAGTGCACAGCATTTTCTATTTCATTTATTTTTAAACAAACTAAGGCTTTGATTTGTTTGCTATTTGGCTTATGTGTGACTTCAACATAGCCCTCAGAAGTCACAACATAAACTGACAAAATTAAAAGTGCACCTATCACCAGAGCCAGGGAATAAAAGGTGACCTACAAATGAAGTTCAGGATACACTACAGCCTATCACACAACTAACCCTCCCTAGTGGTCCCAAAATGAGGCAATCTCCAAATTCCTGTTGTATTCCCTCTCCTTAAAGGGCACTTAAGCCAGTATTTGATTTTTTTAAAAATCCAAATCTCTGTAGGAAAATTCACTGGGAATTTCATACTGGAAACTCATTTTCAAATAAACACACACTTAAATGTGAGACTCCTCCTCACCTGGCAGCTATCACCATCCTCTTTCCATATCTCCAGTGGGTTCCTACTGGCAAAGCTGCTGCCTTTCCCCTCTCTATCGTGTCATTTTACTCCCTCTCTTCTTCCATATACCAAATTGTTTTTCCTGCTAGTCCGCTTCTTCCATTCTCACTAATGGCACATCCTCACACTCACCCATACTCTTCTGCAAGCCCTTACGTAAACTCTGTATTTCTAGGCAACAGAAAAGGGAGCATTTTTTTGCTAGCAAAGCCTGGCTCCCACTGCACTGAAATGACCTGAAATTTTGGTCATTTTAAAAGGCAACTTTGTTATAGAAGCAGCACAGACATTTGAAATTCCTGGAAACTTTGAAACAAGGAATGTATGAGGCAAAGATAAATGTAACCTGTTGGCAAGGTAAACTGGAGACATTTTTGAGCTCCGCACTTACTCCATCTAATCAAGTAAATACCACCCAGCACAAGAACAATGTAAGATGGCTTTTAAATTGCTAAAAGTTCTCATTTGACATATGGAGAAAAAAAATGATAAACAGTGAACTAGAATTAACTTGTGGAAAGCTGTTCCACCCACTGCATTTGGGAACACACCATAACCCAAAATTAAGCAGGGAATTCATCTTCCTTTTGAACACTTATGCAGCCACAAGAAACACAGACTGGATCAAGTAGCTCCTCCTTTTCAAGGGGCTACACTAAACAGCAGGGGCTGCTGCCAGGGGCACTTGCATCCACACTTCCTTTGTCAGAAGGGTCATAATGACCTAAAAGTCTCTGAGGGCAAGTAGGGCCTGCCTCATACTCCACAGAGTTTACAACTAGCTTACCTACTGGAACAGAGATATAACAATAAGCACCATTAGCAGTCTTTCTCGACAGATAGAGCTCTAACTCTATCACAAGTGTTATGAAGGGTTGGGATTGAATCTTTAAGGTCCCTTCCCACCCATTCTATGATTCCATGAACATTACAAATTATCTTAGAGCTTTTTTATCACATGGTAGCTAAAGAACAGTTCATGTTTCCTTCTTCACCTACAATCCTCTAATTACAAAAAACCAACCAGAAATAAAAAGAAACAGAAGCAAAACCGATTCTTTGTTTCGGCAAAAAGTTTCACAATAAGAACAGTTTCACATTTATGAGCATATATGTAACAGTTGTGAAATACATTATATAATTAGCTAAAAACAAATAAAATTAGCTAGAAACATATTCCTATCAGCTAAAGGTACAAGTTCTCACTTCAAGACAGGCACCATATAACCTTCTACTGCAGTTCTGTAACTGAAGTGTAGTGACAACTTTCAGTAAGTGCTGTAGGTGCAGTAAGTGTCCAGACGCTCAAGCTGTGTACTGTTGGACACATTAAATTAACCTTTGTACAAAAGGCTTCACAAACCTAAGCTCAAAGAATAAAGAAACATCCACCTACAATCCTGTACTAGCTTTTTAAACGCTCCACCTTTCCCACTGGAGGATGGACAGCCTACTTTGGTTTTGACAGAATGATTTCAGACACTAATACATTCCTAAAGAAGGGTAAAGGGGCTAATTTTAATCATCTCAGTAGGACACTTATGATAACCTCTAGTCAACAGTTTCAGGGAAAAAAAACCCAAACCAACATTCACATACTGTAAATCACTCACAGAACTCACTCATTAAAAAACATTTTTAATGGCAAGCAAGGTTTTCAAATTAAAACAAGCTCTGCAATGCTGTTACAAGTTACTCAATCTGTGCTCTCCAGAACAAGTCTATTTTTAAGGCAGAAGAGAGACATTTCTTCCAAATGCATAAACCTGGAAGTTTTGTACAGTTCATGGATATCATTTTTACAGCCTTCACAAAGCCATTTCTCGCAGACTTTTAAAAAGATACTGTTTTCACACTATGGCCAGAAAGAAAATAAATCAGTCTTTCAATCAGACTGTGTACTGATCTCAGAGAAGAGACAACATCATGGTTTTCATGACCATGTGAACTTGCCTTATCCGCAAGCACACAGTCTATTTTGGCAGACTGTTTCTTGCGGCTCCCAGTAGGAACAGCCCACTTGTCTCCAGAGTATGAAGCACGTCCATTCCCTTTGCCCTTCTTCAGAAAAATCACTCATGTCTATGGGCCTATATTGATCCAAAAAGTCTCTTCTCTCCCAGCCACATCCAGCTAGTTGTTATTTTATTGTAAAAAAACCTACTGCTTTTCCCCTTTACAGTTTATGTAAAAGTGCAACCTTCCAATTGCCTGCTTTTGCAACGAGAATGCCATTAATGGATTGCTGTAGGATGCAAGACACTGATAAGAGTCCTACCTTGTTCACTAGGTTCTGACTGAGACTTTCTGACAGTAAGGTCCAGAGGTGAGTCTTGGTCAGCCATGAGAAGTTTGCTGAGCACAGGGTTCTGAGCAGTTGCAGCCGTGGGAGAGGAGGCGACCAGAGATGCTTTCAGCAGGCTTTGGTTCTTTGTGCTATTGGGCTGGCTGGAGTCCTGAGTAGAGCTAGTTTTTGAGGTATATTCAGCAGCAAACTGTCGGATCATTCGCTGCATGATCTCACGGGCCACTAGGGGAATATTGGGGTCAGAGACCCTAGGACTGTCTGTAAATATTAGAGATGTTTTTTAAGGAAGCACTTTAAGTAAAACAGCTTTTATATTAAATCATTGCTTATTAAAAAAATAAATAATCTAATGGGAGGGGAAAAAAATGAAAGCCACAGATAAAATAGTTTTTATAGAAAATGTACTCTAGTCTTAGAATACCTGAACAAAAACTATTGCTAATACTGGTATAACCTTCCAAAATAAGAAATATGCAACCTTATCTTTTGTTTTCAAACATAGATATATTTGACCAGACCTTTAAGAGGTGTGGAAATGGGGAGTTAGACTTACGAAGATAAGTACCAAGTAATGAGGTTCATTCAACAAAAAAATTTAACAGGTTATTCAGAGGAAGAATTGAGTAACTTACCTGCAGCTACATAAGGGGAGAAAGGAGAATGAAGTTGCAGCAGTCCCCTACAAGTCTACTAAGAAATCAAGCCCTATAGTTCTGACTCTCCAAAATAATTCACTTAAGATCAAACGTTCAAGTGTTTCCCTCCCATTCTATCTATTCCTTTTGACATTTCAGTCATTATCATCAATGCAACATCAGGGATTACTCAGAGCTTTCACATACACAAAAATCCCAGCATGTGTAAAATGAAAAATAACTGTTTCTAGGAAAGCCGCTAAATCTATTAGAAATGTGAAATGGAACAGGCAGACGTTCTGATTTATTTGTATGAAAGTGTATAAATACAAACGTGTTTGGGGATGTGGGGACAAAAAAAGAAAACAACCCCCAAAAATCACCACCACCAAAACAAAAACAAAAACCACAACCACACAACTCCAGCAATGGCTCAAAAGGTTTGATTTTCTATTTCTAAAGAAACATTCAGGGAAAATTGTGCAGCAGAAGACCAAGCAAATCCCTAAAAGCAGCTCTCGAAGTGATTACTTCCTCTTTAAAAAAAATTGTCCATGTTCAAAGGCAATTTATAGAGATTGAACTATTAGAAGTGCAAGCAAAATCTTCTGTGGGATATTTAGTGTCAGATTTGACTTTTGCTGCCATTTCTGACAAAAGTGCATCATCCCAACAGTCCAGCTTTAGTGTATCTATAAAGGATGACTGACATTAAGTTTGAACTTGGAGCTGTCCACAAACCAGAGAAAAGCAGTGAGCAGCAGCCTCTGTGTTTCTTGATGAAAAACCATGCTGAACATTACATACTTATCAAGCCCAAATTCCTTCCTGTTAAGTACAGCTTCCTAAAACTAAGACCTTGTGCAGTCACCATGTATATTCTTATAAAGGTATAATAGCTGTAAACTTTCAAGATGTTCGTGTAAATTCATAATCATTTTCTTGTAAAATCTACAGGGTGTTTTATTGTTGCTAAGGATGAGACACTAGAGCTTTAAGCAGCTACCAAGAGATGAGCCAAACTTGAATTTAGGTACAATCATATTCTCATTTTCTTACTAAGCAGCCCACAGGGACCCTGGAGAAGCATGAAGGCTTCTTTTTGCTATGGTGACATTTCTTCCATTTTCTAGCCTCTCTAGTATAACCTGCTGAAGGACATATGAAAGGCTCTAAGAAAGCCCACAAGAGCACAAACTGGTGGCATGATCACACTGACACCAACTATTCAACCTGTGCTTGTAGTATGTACAAGTGGGGCTGCAGGAACACAGAGCTCTGAGGCACCTACATTTTCTGAAGAAGAATCATGCCTTCACTGTGCACCCATGTCCACATATACAATTCAGTAATGCTTACAGTTAAACATATTTCCAAATTCAGGGAGAAAATATTGCATATGCCTACAGCCATGCATCTTGATAATCTGCAACTTCAAACAATAAGCACAGGATCACTACTGAGACCTTTCCAGTGTTGCTCAAGATAAACTCACTAATTCAGGACAGAGAACTCAATTTTTAAGCAGAAGAGCAATTACCTAGCACATTAAAGGCTCCTTGCTTAATATAAGGCCTGAACACTAAGGATTAAAGCTGTTCAAAAGCAAGTGGAAAACATTTGCTGGTGGCTCTGCAGCATCACTTGAAATCAGCAGATGTTTATTTTGACACCATGTGTCTCATTATTTTGTTGTTTGCTTTTTATTTTAATAAACTAAAATTAACTAAACCATAGAAACTCTCACTGAAGAACAATACAGCAAATATTTATCAGCTATAAATAATCTAAGGCAGTATCTCTGAGCTATAAAAATCTTAATAGCTTGTGTATTTTATCTACACTGAATCTTCATTAAACCATCAAAAGAAGGTCCTATCCTGCCACAAGGTAAAGGTAACAGAAGTAGGTATGTACAGACAACTGGGAAGTATGAACATTTGAAAGATGCATCACAGAGTGGGCACAAAGCAGAGAGAAGTACATGAGATTAATGGACCTGCTCAGAAAGTTTGCTGATCTTGCTAATTGCCTATGTATTTAAGTACAAGAGTGCATGTCCTTGATGGGCAACAGGCATCTGTTCACAGAACATCTGCATCTTCTCTGATCTGCCTGGGCTACAAAATACCAGTCTCAAATGTTACTGGCAGCGAGGATGGAAAGAACAAACAAAAAAGGAAAGAAATAATGACTGGCATGATGCCAGGAGAGCCCAGAATCTCTGAGCAACACAGGAGTGTCAGAGTTATGCCATTCTTTGTGTCCTCTTCGGTATGACAGTGCCTGGTGATCTTATGGCATTGGCATGAGTTAAAATAACCTTTCAGGCAATCTAAATACAACTAAGCTTGACAATGATGCATATTAAGGATTCAAAAAATGACTTCCTGCCAGGCTGCTTCCCCTCCCTTATTACTCTTGCATCGAGCACATATTTGCCAGAGGAAGGAAAGCAAGAGTATATTAAAAAAAAATCATAAAGATTCTTAGACATCTGAAGCCATTTAATTATGTTCATTGTGTGCATCTGACTAAGGACAGAGCATTAAACCCCTCATTAGCACGCTGCAGTATCTGCCAATGGTCTTCCAACATTCAGGAAAGTACGCATTTCTAATAAGACATACACACAGGTCATAGAGAAAAACTTAAGCTCAATGTTAAAAGGATCACATCTTTAATAAACCAGTTGGAGGTGATGGAAGTGCATTATTTTTTCTCGTAAGAAAAGTAGAATGGGAAAAAGTATATTTTCCTCTAGATTTTTGTTTACTTAAATTCCTTCTGGATTTAAAAAGAGAGATGGGATAAATTTAGAAGTAAAAGGAAACATTAACCTTAGAAGAAAGAAGAAAAAAAAAGAGCCAAACAACAAAACCCACACTCTGAGAAGGAAGACTTGCAATAAAAGCATTATCTGAACTATCAGTAGTAATGCAATAATTATCCTTCCTACCATCCTACATGCTTCTATACTTTACATAATACATCATAATGTATAGTTTGTATTTCTTCATTTGAGTCCTAAAAGAAAGGCTAAGATACTGTTATCTACTTAAAACACCTTTAAATATTTTGGTCCCTGGGAGGAAGGGCTGAGGACTGGCTATAGCCATTTCTAATTTATTAAACTGAAGCCTTGCATTGTCCCCCAGAAGACAGGTTGGAATTACTGATTTGGCAGATTTTCTCACACATGGGTTAGGCTGATAAGTACAATGTACTTTCATTCAGGATGCATTTGGAAGCAACCTCTGGATTCCCATTTCTCAGATTGGTAGAAAACACTGAAATGAGTTTTGTGCCTTCCTAAGAGCACAGTTTAACTGACATAACTCTCCAGAGGAGATTTACAGGATTGTCTAGCACTGAGCTACTGTTACTGTTCTCAGAAAATTCTACAGCATTGATTTTCCAATTCTTTTGCTGATCACATTTTGAATTCTCCACATATCCACCTTAGCACTATTCCAACATTATTTTGTACTGTTGATTTCTGGGGGTGGGTAATCACTACAGACCATAGTGAGAAGACTGCTGAGCTTTAAGAAAAACTGCATTAGTATACATCCCATTAAAGTAAGATTTTTAAAAGTAATTTTTTGTTTAAAATTGCCCACCTAATACCACCATCACTTGCCCCTTCTTCCACACAGCCCACTCACCCAAACTCTGGTTTCAGGGGAGCAGTTATATTGGGTAAGAACTGAGTCATTCCTCTTAAAGTACAAAATACCAGTGCTCTCAGGATGAGATTTGGTTTAAGGCTGTTATACACTTTTCCCCTCTCCCAAGCCCACACTGTTGTATTGCTACATTATTTGAGAGTCAATGGTTACTCTTGATAAATATATATTAAGACAACAACTGAAAAATACTGACCATACAATGACAGCTTGAATGTCAGATCTTTGATACCTGCATTGCATGCAAAGAGACCAGCAAGAGATACCATTTCCCCCCCAAGTAAAACCAACCTTTTCTGTAAAAGACTGCATTGAGGAACTCTTCCGCTTGCCTTTCAAAACGAATGATTTTTGCTTGCTCTTGTCTAAGCAGAGCTTCTTGTCCAGCTTCCGAGGCTGGCTCATCCAGACTGACTAAGTGTTCCTGCAAAGATATTTAATATTTGTAAGATCTTCCTGACTCCAAAATTAATAAAGTTCCTTAAGGCATTAAAAAAATTTACTTAAATTCAAAACTTTGTTATGTACTACACAGAGCTGAATCTACTGAAATCACAACTTAATTTTTGACTGCTCCAGAACATTGTACTTTGTCCTGTTTTCTTGTTGTAAATGCAGCAGAAGCCTGTAAGATTTGATAACATTATGGGGAAATAAGAGGCTACTATAAAGAACATGTAGATATTTTACAACACTTGGCTGTGAATCTGTTATCTAGCACTTGTTCTTTAGCTACTGCTTTTAGTTCCAAGAAATAACCATTGAAGGCAAAACACAGAAAATTCTCCTCAATCTATGCAGCATCCATGTGAACTGAGTGATAAATAAACGACCAAACTTTAGCAACAAACAGATCCTTTATGAAAAGGCTCAGCAGTAGCTACTTTTAAGTGAAATAAACTTAAATTAGCTGCACATACCACCTGCAATGAATTAAAATTCATTCTCTTTCTTACAACTGGAAGCAACTGAGTTACCTCAATATTTCAAAACAAGTGTTTTAATGAGGATAATTAAACTGTGTGAGATGCCAGCATAAATTATTCACTTTAAATGGAACTCAAGAAACTAGAAGCCAATGGTTATTAAAATAAGAAATCTAAATCAGATCCCTCCTCCTCCCCCCCCCCCCCCCCCCCTTTTCTCATTTCTCTGTTTAATGCCTTGCTCCTGCTTAGGAGAACACTCTGTTTCCGGGCCCTCTCTCTCCACTTTCATTTTAAGCTATAAAGTTACTGTATTTACCTACTGCAGGAATGCATACATAACCGCTCTTTGGGTTTAGGGAGTGTTCTGTTTTGTTAACCTTTACGAAGTATCAATTACCATAATATACCTAGAGTACATCTGGATTTTGGCCTCTAAAAGTTGATTTCAGGTTCATATCCTCATGGGATTAGTAGGGAAGGAAAGAACTGGCAATTCATTTATAATTCACAATAAATTCAAAGAAGTCACTCTTCAGTTTGTGCCGTCTCAACTTTAAGAGGTTTAATGAAGCAAGGTCACATAACCAGCCCATAGTAAATTAACAAACACTGCAGTCACATGAACTACGTGCAAAGGGTAATAATACGAAATGCTGTGGACTCTGGCCTTAACAACATGGGCTCTTGCCTTAGATTTGCAATTCAACAGCTTCCAAAAGTTCTCTATCACAAGTAAAGGGAGATACTCTCTCAGACAGGGTATAGAGACAAAGCAGTGCTTTTAATAAAAAGGAAAGGAACCTGCAGTGACGGAGATTGCAGGTGAGTAAAACACCACACTTTGCTGTGAAGGTAAGGGTCTGCACAAGTAAATACCTCACAAAGTGACTGACTGTTTTTTTCTATACCAGAGGGATTCCAGGCTCGCTCCTGTGGTTCACTGGCATTTTATGAACACACTGAAAATGCAGTTGTATTTTTCTGATACTTAAAAAAAAACAAAAAAGGTGTGAAGTATCTGCACAGGATTTCACAAAATTATTTGTGGAGGGTAAGCCCAATAGTTTTGCAAGACTTACACCTCAGTTGAGAATTCATAGAGCACGCCTGCATCCCCTTTTTGAAACTGTGCTTCTGCATCTGACAAATCTTACTGCAGGATCTGTCCTAGTTATTGACAGCCATTCTGAGTCAAGCTCCATTATCTTTTAGGCATTATCAGGATAATTGTAAGCTTGGCTTATCAGGTTGTACAAGAAGCAGATGTTTGTGCAAATTAGCTAATAACAGAATTAATCTAGGCATACAGAAGTGTTGGAACGATCACTGGAATATCTAAGCATTTACAAACTGCTTCAAGTTTAACTTTAAAAGGCATCTCTGCAAGCTGATGCGCGGAGATTTGGCTAGATAAGCGCTATTAGAGCTAATTGGCATCCTCTAGCTAAAGTCCCACAAGCCACTGCAAAAAAACTCCTTTAATTCAAAGGACAATGAGAGAATTCAGAATTGAAGGAGACATTACCCTTCAACCTGAGCTGATACTCAGCCCTTTGACAGATTCTACCTCTGGAAGAAGCCTAACATAAAAATAACCCTTGGCAAACCCAATGCATTTCAAACCTTCCTAGCACTTTCTGCAACTAAGACAATACACAGTAAGTACTAGCCTAGCAACTTGGTGGAAAGAGATTTGAATGATAGCATACCTCACCAGAAGCAAATGTACTTTACATTACTCACATAAAGGCAATGCATAAGGAGTACAATTTAATCTACCAATCTGCACATTTTCTAGAAGGAATGAAGAAAAAGGGAATCAGCCAGGAAAAAAATTGTAAGTAGCTTATATTGGTGAATGGCTGAACGAAGGATCATTTGATCTGCATCTGGAAGAAGAGGAGAAGAACCAAGGCAATGGCAGCACTTAGCTCTTATGCCTCAAACTAAGGAGCATGCCGTTCTTTACTTGTATGGGCTTTATTAATGTCCAAGCTAAGATATCAAAATGTAAAGAAATACAGCTCTATAGCAATCATTTAACCTTGTGCATAGAAAAAAAAATAATCTTCAGCTATTTTCTGGTATCTGCAGCACAGCACTCACTACGTGAGAAAATATGGGGAAGATTTCTGTTTATTGCAGATTCCAATAATTTTTCTTATCAATTGTGTCACAACTGTGCCAGAAATCACAGCTGGCTCACTCCTCAAAGGAAGCTTCAAGTTTACACACTAAATATTTGATTGTGACTGCTATTCAAAGTCAGCTTCCAAAACTATGGCTTTTGCTTGTTCTGGATCTGTGTGGTTGGTTGGCTGGTCTTGTGTTGGGTTTTGGGGCTTTGTTTTGGTTTTGTTTGTTGGGGGTTTTTGGTGATTTTGGGGCATTTTGATTTTTGGTGGGTGTTGTTTTTGTTTGTATGGTGGAGGTTTTTTTAAACATTTTCCACCATTTCTTCCTAATAATCATTCTATAGATCCACTATCTTGAGGCTTATCCTCTCACCCCACAGTCCTGGATCACACTGAAGTTTTCAGTACCAACATGCAGGAAGCAGAAAAAAGAAAAACAAATGAATATTTAGACAGCATTGTCATTAGTTGCAAACTAATACATAATACATTACATAATATTTATGGCACAGGATTCACTCTGTTCTTTTTGCCCATCTCTTCAGATGGGAATCATGCCCCAGAGCATCCCTGGAATCCCATCAGTGAACATACAGTATCACTGTACTGAAGAATACACCTTCAGGAAAAGACATTTGGAATGGATTGCACATGCTCCCAAAGGTCTAAAGCCTTTTGCACATTAAGATATAAAGCATAACAATATAATTAAGTCAAAGAGCCTTAGAAATACAGAGCTCAGGGTTTCAAAACGCAACATCAATGCATGACCTTGACAGACCACCTAATCCTGGACAGCCTGGCTTTGTCAGCACTAGTGTTGGATCCTCACCGAGACCCTCCTTGTAGGAAATGTTGAGACAGCAATTCTAAATGCTAAACTGCTGGCATGAAGAGAAAGGTACGATGCAGGCTGGTTTTATATAGATATGGCAACAGCAGCTTCATGTTTAAGCCACAAGCTGCATGCAGATGGAGCAGCAATCACCCATAAGATAGAATGCTGTGAAGTAATTCTTATCCATCTTTATGGAGGAAACAGTGGTGGCTTCCAGCAGATCACCTGTGGCTCAGTGGCCAACCCATGGCCCACAGGGATATGATCTAGACCATCACCCCAAGGTAAGATCAGGAAGTAAGAAAGGAATGTTTCAGCATCCCTAGGTTGTCTACTCCAACACTTCATTTCTCTTAAGACTGTACAGTCTTTTTATCTCTTAGGCAGTGCAAAGGAGAATAACCTACTATTTTCTGCAGAAAAGCCCTAATGGCACCAGACTGTCTTCTTTCCTTCCGGCTTCAAGACCAAGTCATTCTTGTTGCTTTCATTTCAATAATCACAGAACCATAGAATAGTTAGGGTTGGAAAGGACCTTAAGGTCATCTAGTTTCAACCCCCTGCCATGGGCAGGGACAGCAATATTCAATAATATTCAGTTTGTTTACATCTCTCTCAAAATGCTACACCCAGTTGATGTTTCACCAGCACTTAGGCTTTCCTCCCAGGTACGAAGACAAATGCCTGTCTTGCTATGGCCCCAGAAACAGTTTAGTACTTTTACAACGCTATCACTTTTCAGGTATCTGCAACTTGTGACTTGACAAAATAAGCCAGTCTGTTCCCATTTTTCAACTTTATTGAGAACATTCCCAGTTCTGAGCATGTCCTTTAAAGCACCCAGAACAGTTCCTATCTTGGAATCAACTAAAAGTTCAGATGGCTTAGTTTTAAGACAACCCACACTTACTGAGCATGCATACTCATATAGTAAGAAGTAGTATTTATTTCTCTATTAAGATGACTGATATTAGATTTGGTTTGAATTTGATAAATATGTCTTGACTGATCCATAGCTATTGAATATAATTTATTAGCTATAGTAGGGAAAAAAAAATATGTGGAATTAGTAGGGAAAAAAATCTGTGGAATTACAGTAAGTTTGACATTGACACTTACCCACAAGCAAAACTGTAACCCTGCACTACTGCTAAAACCAGCTGGAAATTATCATAAACAGCCTCTTCAGGTTTTAGACTCCACAGCAAATTATTTTATAACCACCCAATACAAAACTGACCTTCTAAATGCTTGAGGTTTTTTAAAGTGATGAAATGCATGGAAAATGTTTTAGGAGCATCATCCTGCACACTTAAGATCTCTGTACACAGTTTAAACACATTCTAAAGCCATCAAAAAATCCCAAGAGTTCCACAACTTCAACTCATTTTCAGATATTTCCTCTGTTATCTTCAATTATCCTAGGAGTTAGAGCTTTAAATGATAGTGGTAGCTTCTTTTCACAATTATTCAGACACTTACCACAGTTTGCTTCTTATTGTTTATGTTCCTCCATAGTGAA